CTCTGACTGCAGATCAATTACTCACTACCTACACACGTTCTCACGTCACGCCGTGACCATCTTACATATTCCAGCCCACCTCCAACCTAGCAAATGCTAGAGCACTCCCGAAGGAACAGGATAGTTCTAGAAACGTGGCGTGACACTAGTCACGTAACCTCGCTGACGCAACAATACCTTCGGCATTTGTTGTGCACTTCGCACACAAAGTCTTAACATCTAGAACTGACTTGAAAATAGAGGGAATGATTTGAACAGTGTAAAACGCGAGTTACATTAGAGTTAATTATTTATTAATGAGTCTGTCACAATAAATGCCCGATTGTTGAGTTGCGAGTTTGTTGGTCAATTCGTTTGTTACTTTAGTTATGAGAATATTGGGGTTGGGTTTTAATGAACAGTAGAGATATGAGAAATATTGCATATGTGAGAAAATTAGCAAATGACTGTTTAGCGTTATTTAAGAAGTTAGGCTTACCATTAGTTCGAGAAACCGTGTAATCAGATAGATAAAACGTTTTCGTTACCATAAAGTAGACTGCACTTTGCTAAACAACATAGATTGAAATTTAAGAAAACAATTAAAAGAATGGTTGATAAGATTTATAGAAAAATTACGAACCAAATCAATCTGAACGAAGGTAAGATCGAAAATGTCATAGAAAATATTCAGAAGGATTATACTTTAACAACAAAATTGAAAAAGTACAAAATAATTATAATAACTTCAAAGAGCTAGAGCGAAGAAGTCATGGGATATGTATGGAAGTACATCAATACCAGGATAAAACATCTAAAAACCGATTGGCAAATTCAAGGTTCAAACCAGCTACACCTTTCTCTGTAGCCGCTCAGAAACTCAAACACCATAAACAGCCTGGACTACTCCAATTACACCACTTCTTCTTCAAGTTAGGGTATTTAGCAGGCCAGTTCAACAACATCACGCAATCAAGAAACCAATAGATTATGAGGGGAAAGCACCATGGGAGACATATCAACCACAGTTCCTAATGATTTCTAACGTGAAGTGATTGAGTAATGGACGACAAGCTTGCAGCACTAGAGTAACAACTATCAGGTATGGCTGGCCACCTTATCAAACACATTTGAAGTATCACATCAGAAGGAAATTTCTAAAGCAAAATTTAGGAGTGAGGTAAGGAGGAATGACAAGATCTTAACCAAACTTGCTGAAGACATTATGTTATCCAGATGCTTTGTGTGAAATGATGGATTTGTTGGCACATGACCATAGATACTACAGTGGATAAGGACATGCAAGTTACGTGTACATACTTAAATGAAGCTGTTCAGTTGGTGATGTAACTGGAATCAATTAAGGTTACAGATAAAGTATTTAAAACACAATCCAGGAAAAGTGGAATCAACATATAATGTGGAAACATCAACTTTCTCTGATTGAAGCCTAGGAGAACTCAAAGGGTTAATTCAACAACTTAGAATGGAAGAAGTAAATCATAAGAAAGTAGAGGTTTTATCTGTATCTTAAAAGGGTGTATTACCAGGAACCACAGACAAAAATCTGTAAGAAATAAAAATTGCTCCAAAAGGATGACAGAAAAATAGCACTGTTATAAACGTGTAATAAATTAAATGATAATAGTAAACCAAGGACACAATATCCTAAAGATGAGAATACTCCATCTTTTCTAACTTAGATAAGGAATTCATTATTTAAAGAAACCAGTCCATGAATCAACAAATTCCTTGATGGTGAGCCTTGCAACATGTTGATTGATACTGATTCACCAACTACCACTGTTCAACATGATCTGCAAATTAAATGTTGGAAATTGCTTACAGAGATGAAGCAAGAACATGGATTGATGTGAGCAGCAAGTGACTAAGTAATCATGTAATTCCAGTAAGAGTAAATAACGTTGGAATTTACTCCTATTTTGAGAAGTTTCTCTACACAACATGATGTGTGCAAATTAATATTGAGGAAGAGTGCATACTGGGAATAGATTTCCTGTAGAAACACAGATAAAAACTTAGAATAGTTTCAAACTGTTTCACAATATATGACCAGAAAATCTCTGTGCACTATGTGAGGTTGTACTTCCACTGACAAGGATAAGCACAAAATAATAAAAACAACCAACTTTAAGTGCATAATCCAGTATAACAAAAAAAAATGTAGCTTA